CTGATGAGATACCACATAACCATTTTATAGGTACACACAGCAAGCACTGGTGGTAGCAGCAAGGACAGGCAGAAGGAAGCACAGAGGAAGGGGTACAGCAGAGAAAGCAATCACATTTAGGTGAGACTAAAGGAAAGGACAGGAGATGGTGGCAGAACCCAGAGCCTCACTCAGGACCAATTCCACCCCACAAGGGCACTTAAATCAAGTTCTAAGAAGTCCATCTGCTGCCCTTTAGGACATTTTCCAGCTATTATCACAACTCCGTATCATTTTAAAAGGAGTGAAGTTTTAAACAAAAAACAAGGCCAGGCGCAGTAACTCACGCCTGTAATCCAAGTACTTTGGGAAGCCGAGGCAGGTGGATCACCTGACATCAGGAGTTCCAGACCAGCCTGTCCAACCTGGTGAAACCCCAACTCTACAAAAAATACAAAAAATTAGCCGGGCATGGTGGTGGGCGCCTGTAATCCCAGCTACTTGGGAGACTGAGGCAGGAAAATTGCTTGAACCCAGAAGGCGGAGGTTACAGTGAGCCAAGATCACACCACTGCACTCCAACCTGGGCAACAAGAGCAAAATTCCATCTCAAAAATAATAACAATAACAAAATAAAAATACTAATGACACAGGCACAAACTATTATATAACGCAATTCATCTGGGGAAGCAGGTGTTTATAAATTACTTACCTCCCCTGTCCCCCAAAAAAGAGGAGGGGGGAAAAGTCAAAAAGAAAAATGGAACAGCACAAAGCAACTCTAAAAGGGGAGCTCTGGCTCAAGGATGTGGTGCACCTATGCTGCACCTTCACTCCAACTTTCTGGTCCCCTGCAGCCCCTGCTGATGAGCAGCAGGAATATAGAATCCAAACCAATTCATCTCAACTTGCAAAGCAGTTTATTTTAATTACCAGAATAACAGAGACACTATTGGCTGATAGACCTTAAGACTTCTGTCAAATCTTAGAGTTGATTTTTTTAATTTCAAATTCCCCTTCCACAGGAAAACACAATGTTAAAGAACTTCACTTGTCAAAACTAGATCAAAGGTTTAAAAGTTCCATACAAAATAGAGGTTTAAAAGAGAAGCTGACAGCTCTCTCAACAGTTCTCTTATGCCTGTCTATAATTGTCTTCAGCATCCTACAACAGTAGTGACTACCAGCATTGAGACAGCAAACACTGGCAAAAGAAATGTGAGGAAAAAAACAGAAGACAGCAAACACAACCCTCCGAAGTTTGTTTGGTCTTTTTTAATATATCTTCAACAATAAACTCAGTTACATTCTAACTGAGACAGCTCTCTCTCCAGTTGAAAAGTTTCACGGCTAGTTCAAGTTATGACAACTCAAGCAGTTCTATTTCTGTACTTCCTAATTAAAAACTTACCAGAAAAATAATTTTTAACCAAAGCCAGAAAGAGGTTAGCAAAGAGTAATTTATGATGCGGCTACAGAGACAAAGGAAATACTGCACAGAGGCAGAATAACCATTTTTCCCATTCAGTGCTGCAGCTCCAGGAATCTAATGATTCTCCATTTATTCAAAAATGAAAATGATTATAAAATTCCCTAGTGTTGACAGCAGGTGATTTTTAACTTCACTGCTGCCTGACAGGCACCTACAGGCTTTACCTGGCCTCAATCTGTCCAGTTTGGAACTGCCAATTAGTAGCTTCCCAAAAGCAAATCTCAATGTAAGCTATTTTTAAAAAGTGGTTTTCAAAGTGCCAAATACAATGGACTAGTCAAGCTCAACATGTTAGAACAAAATAAACTTGAGTGCCCGATCCAGGTTGCAATTGTCAAAGCAGAGTAACAAAGAGTAAAGAAAGGAAAAATTCTCAAAAACAGTTATGATAACTGTACTTTCCTACTAAAGAATAGTGCAGCAAACTAACAGGGATCATCACTGGTAATCTTAGCCCTTTCTCAGTTGAGGCTCCACAAGAGAGAATTAAGCATTAATACCCTAAGGCAGAAAAATTAACAAAACTTTTCTGTAAATATTTTAGGCTTTAAGGCACTAGATCTCTGTCACAACTACTCAATTCTGTCTCTGTAGCACAAAAGTAACCATCACCAGTAAGTAAATGAGAATGACTGTGTTCTAATAAAACTTTACTTAGAACATGCTGAATTGAATTTCAAATAATTTTCACATAAAAATATTTTTTCAAGGTTCTTGTAAAAAAATTCTGACATCATTGGCCAGATGTGACCGTAGGCAGTAGTTTACTAACCTATTCCCAAAGCATCCATATGTAACCGATTAACTTATTTCCTATGTATCTAGAATAGTACCAATTACACATCATATTATGGGGAATAGAGAAAATAATCACTCGTATCACTTTCTGTGTATCAACAGTACTCTAATATTCCGTCCAGTATAAAACTGATTGATGAGTTTTTTGGGGGCCACTTTTTAACTTGGGCAAATAGCTTGACACGAGTTAATAAAATAATTCTCAAAATATAAAAAACATAAAAAGTAACTTTCACATGTAGTATATTGCCAATGGGTGATATAAATCAAACTGGTGCAAATTAAATCTCTGGTTAATATATCACCAGAAATAAAAGTTCTTTTAGTAAAGCCAAGAATTCAACTATCATTTTTCAATTTATTTTGTATCTTCAAATGCAAAACCTACCTGAATAAAAATCACAAGCATAAATTACAGGATTGCCTCAGACACCTACACACTAGATTTGAGTTCCAGCTCTATCCTTTTCTGGATGAGTGAGCTTCAGCAAGTTCCAGACTTTTTACTGTTAAGGAGATGAATAAATACTGCAACCACCCAAGAGTTGTCAAAGTGTGCAATTAAACTTGTGTGAAAGAGTTTGTATACTACATAGCGCTACAGAAACAACAGCTGCCATTATTAGGTGCTAAATGGCTTTCTTCATAACTTTAAAATTATAATTTTCCCTTTCATTTTAAAAGGACAAAGGTCTTGTGATGTTCTCCAAGCTGGACTTGAACTCCTGTGCTCAAGGGATCCTCTTGCCTCAGCCTCAAACAGCTTCCCCTAAGCTCAATTTTCCATGTTTTTAAATAGCACTTGCTAGTTTCTGCTAAGGCTTAGGTTCTTAGTGGAATACTGTGCACCCAGGAGTATACCTCATTGAATACATTTAAGCAAAGCATAAGGTAAGGCACTGTGGTGGAACTAAAGATGACTGAGATGGCCTCAACCCTCAAACAGCTCAAAATGAACTCAGACATGTACACATGATGAATCAGGGCTATAACAGGAACAAGCAAAAGCCATTATGAACGTCCTATGGGATCAGGAAAAGTTGTACAGGTACTTAATCAGGGCCCGGGTATGTGATGGGAGATACATCATAACAGAGCAATTCTAAGAGCGGAGGTACAGAGATGAGAGAACACTTCACAAATTCCAGGATGCAGGGCAATGCGAATTTTAAAACAAATAATTCCAAAAATAATGTTTCATTTTAAAAATCTAACCAGGAAAAGAAAAACTTCACCATTAGTCTTTAGACCTCTAAAAGGTAAGCATCATGAAGGATAAACTAAGACTCACTTTAAGCTCAGAAGTTAGGAAAATTATGAACCATGCTGACTTCAATCCATCTCATCATTATTTCCCAAAGCACTTTACAAACATTATCTAAAAGGATATGTTCCAAGGACACTGAGCAGAAGGAAGGGAAAAGTCCAGCCTAGCAAGTCTCTAAGGGATAGAGACTGGCATACTCTGGTTCTACTGATGATACATGCAACCTGCTTCAAAAACCATTTTCCTAAATGCTGCAAGTTACCACAGTTCACAGTACAAAAAAGCAATATAACAAGTTAGTTCTTAAAAGATTAAGCTATACATGCTTCCTTTGAGGAAAAGGGGCTAGGAAATCTGACATTCTTCTAGGGTTTATTTTCTTATCTATATCATTAAAAACCTTTTTCCTAATCAAATCTCATTTATGTTTACCCTTCTGTCAACAAAGACAACGAAACAGGTTTACTCTGAAGCTGTGCCCAGGCATGGCAAATTTCAACCCCAAAGAAAATTTTTAAAAATTGAGTGATAAGAAGGGTGTATGTAACACATTCTAACACCTAAAAATAACTGTTGTCTGTAATTCAGTTACATCTCCCTCCCAAGATTGCCACTGTGCCAGTCACACCATCAGTAGAGGATTAAAGATGGCCCCAAACTCTGTGCTACTTCTCTCATTGAGAAATGGAGTCAAGTTCCCCTTCTCTTGAATCTGGGAAGGCTCCATAACTGCTTTGACCACAGAATATGGCAGAAGTGATGCTCCGCCAGTCTCCAACTGAGCCCATCAACTGTGAGAGATGTTAAGTGCTTTTTAAGATACTAAGTTTTAAAGTGATTTGTTAAGAAGCAACAGGAAGGCAGAATCTCATCCAGCAGGCCACAGCTTCAGCTTTCAGGTCTTTTCACCACAGCAACAGCCTAAATGCTGTTTCACTTAGAAAAGAAAAAACTCAGGCACCATAACTTACTAATACAGGTTTTAAACAGAACATGCTATCAATGTTCAGAGCATAAAAAAGATTACCATGGTTCCCTAATTCTTCGTAAGAAATGCAAACTGCCAAAAAGTAATACATCAGCCAAGTTCAATAAAAAAAAGTTGTAAAAATCAAGCACCTTGAGTATACCCAAGTGTCGCATTTATTCTTTACACTGAAGAAAACCCTCTGATCTGGAAGGTTAGATACCAAGATGTCAACTCCGGATAGCAGTATTTGGGAAGGACAAGATGGCAGGAGGGGAGTGGCAGACAATTTTCACTTCACCCTTTATACAATTCTGAACTGCTTGAAAGAAGCATGTAATATATAGTTTTAAAAAGATAATTCATTTAGAAAAAGGCAAACCACTGTGGCCCTAACAACTTTTAAACACTGTTCTGGTACATTAAGAATGAGAGCAAATGCCATTCTTAGTTATGCTTTCACAGAATAAAGGAAGGTGTCAGTTGCAAATGGATACCTACTTTTAACAGTGAGTAGAGCCCAGGCTCTAACTTGTGTCTCCTTCTATCCCACCAGCCGCATGCTCCTAATGCAGCACTCCTAGTTAACACCGTACCCAGCAAGGGGAGGATGACTTTGACTTCCTTCTTTCAAGCTTTGAAGGGTACTAGATAAGAGGTGAATCCTTTCACAGTCCTTTTAGAACTTTCCCCATGCCTCCAACAACTGTTAGTCTACCTTGCAAGTCAGACTGTGCTGGACACCATAAAATCACTTCCCCATGGTGTTCCTCTGCCACAATCCCAATCCCAGGAAAACTAGTAAGATGGTTGCAGGAAATATGAAAGAGAGTGGCAGCAAATCAAGTCAGAAAGATACAGGGCAGAAAAGAAAGATAAAATAATTCCTCCCTTGAATATCTAAGTTTTCATAAATTATCCCTGTCTCTTGCTCTTGCTGCTTATTTTTAAACCAATTCCTCGTTTCTAAGAAACTCCATCAGGAGACAGATAAGGAAAACACAAAAGTCAAAACAATTCATTCTGGTTCTGGTTATTAAAGTCAAGTAAAAAACCAAATTAGAAAGGAAAAGAACACAGGAAAGGGTTCAAAATTATTAAAGTTATTAAGTGCTGAGATCTCGCCATAGCTGTAAGCACTTCCAAGAGCCCTTCCCAACCCCCAGTTTATCAGATTTCCTAAAGGGATAGAAACAAAAGTTAATCAAGTTCCAACTATCAGTATTTCTTCTAAGACATCATTTATTAGAATCCTATGACCTTACATTCAAGTATTTCTCTTTATTAAACCCTAACATTCCAATTTAGCTTCCATCCCTCACAGGAAAATACAGATAAACAAATTAACATACAAAATGAACTGACAGAGTTTTATAAAAACTAGGTCAACATATAAAAATATAAGTATAGTTTAGCAAATTTAGATATAAAATATAAAACATTAGGAAATTGCCAAAGGATCGCCCACGGTGAATATATGAATAATACAGAACAAGGCCGGGTGTGGTGGCCTGCGCTCTCAGAACTTTGGGAGACGGAGGCAGGCAGACCACTTATGGTCAGGAATTCATTATCAGCCTGGCCCACACGGTGAAACCCCACCTCTACTAAAAATACAAAAAAAATTAGCCGGCCATGGTGGTACACATCTGTAGTCCCAACTACTTGGGAGGCTGAGGTTAGAGAATCGCTTAAACCCAGGTAGCAGAGGTTGCAGTGAGCTGAGATGGCCTCACTGCACTCCAGCCTGGGTGGCAGAGCAAGACTCCATCTTAAAAACAAAACAAAACAACTTAAAAAGCAGAAGACAGAGAAGAGGAAGCCATGCTGAGTTGCTGGGTTTTTTTTTAATTAGTGTAATACATGCACAGTTCAAGAAATAATCTTGAGGCTGGGTGCGGTGTCTCACACCTGTAATCCCAGCCCTTTGGAAGGCCGAGGCAGGTGGATCACTTGAGGTCAGGAGTTCGAGACCAGCCTGGCCAACATGGTGAAATCCCATCTCTGTTAAAAATACAAAAATTAGCCAGGCACGGTGGCAGACACTCGTAATCTCAGGAGACTGAGGCATGAGAAGTGCTTGAACCTGAGAGGTGGAGGTTGCAGCGAACCGAGATCATGCCACTGCATTCCAGCCTGGGTGGCAGAGCAAGACAAAGAGAAGGAAGAAAAGGAAGGAAAAAAGGGAAGGAAGAAAGGGAGGGAAGGGAGGGAGGAATCTTAGCCAGACGCAGCGGCTCACACCTATAATCCCAACACTTTAGGAGGTCGAGGTGGGCAGATCACTGGAGTCCAGGAGTTCAAGACCAGCCTGGGCAACTGGCAAAACCCCATCTTCATATAAAGGGAAAAAAAAAAAAAAAAAAAGAAAAAAAAACAGGCATGGTGGTCTTTCAGTCCCAGCTACTCAGGAGGCTGCGGTAGGAGGATCACTTGAGCCCAAGCGGTGGAGGTGACAGTGAGCCAAGATCACACCATTGCACTCCAGTCTAGGCAACAAAGTGAGACTCTGTCCCAAAAAGAAGGGGAAAAAAAAGAAGAAAAGAATTGTACTGTATTCAGCATTTGTTAGTATTTATTAACTTTGCAAATATGTTCAAATTAATTTTTTTTTTTTTAGAAACAACAAGGATCCGTAGATGACAGAAAACTATCAGAGTGTTAGAAATGTTAAAAGAATATGGAATGTCTGACCTAGAAAAGAAAAAGAGGTCTCATTTACCAAAAATTGTTGATAATAATAGGTTTTTTAGGGGTCAGGCACGGTGGCTCACACCTGTAATCCCAACGCTTTGGGAGGCCAAAGGGGGGGGCAGATCACCCGAGGTCAGGAGTTTGAGACCAGCCTCGCCAACATGACAAAACCCCATTTCTACAATTATACAAAAATTAGCAGATGGGTGGCGGGCACCTGTAATCCCAGCTACTTGGAAGGCTAAGGCAAGAGAATAACTTGAACCCGGGAGGCAGAGGTTGCAGTGAGACGAGATCACGCCATTGCACTCCAGCCTGGGCAACAAGAATGAAACTGTGTCAAAAAAAATATTTTTAACAAGGAAAATGTTGAGTAATTGCAAACAGAGGCTCAAGCCATTAAGCAAACACTGGTCTCTGAACAGGAATAATGTTCTCAAAACAAAACTCTCCTATTAGCTCTCAGATCTGACTTCAACTTCAGAGACAGGTAGGATTTTACAAAATTGTGTAACAAGCAAGGACAGAAACACTTTAAAAAAAATTCCCTGAATATTCAGGTCACGGTGGGCTTAAGAAATTAAGATTTTTTTTTTTTTTGAAACACAGTTTCACTCTTTCACCCAGGCTGGAGTTTAGTGGCATGACCTCGGCTCACTGGAACCTCCATCTCCTGGGTTCAAGCGATTCTCCTGCCTCAGCCTCCTGAGCAGCTGGGATTATAGGCATGCACCACCACGCCTGGATAATTTTTTATGTTTAGTAGAGATGGGTTTTGGTGTGTTGGCCAGGCTGGTCTCAAACTCCTGACTTCAAGTGATCTGCCCATTTCAGCCTCCCAAAGTGCTGGGATTGCAGGCATTACCCAGCACACTCGGAAAGAAATTAAGATTTAAAAGATCATCCTGGCCGGATGCAGTGGCTCACGCCTATAATCTTAAAACTTTAGGAGGCTGAGATGGGCAGATCATCTGAAGTCAGGAGTTCGAGACCAGCCTGGCCAACATGGTTAGAAATCCCATCTCTACTAAAAATACAAAATTAGCTGGGCATGGTAGTGCAAGCCTGTAATCCCAGCTACTCGAGAGGCTGAGACAGGAGAATCGCTTGAACCCAGGAAGCAGAGGTTTCAGTGAGCCAATATCGTGCCATTGCACTCCAGTCTAGGCAACAAGAGCAAAGCTTTATCTCAAAAAAAAAAAAAAAGATCATCCTGTAGTAAGATCATCCTGCAGTAGAAATCACAACATAATGAATACTATGATTTGAAATTGGGATGCTCATGGGACGAGGGTAGCTCCCAAACTATATCTAAAAATCAAATTAAGGCAACTAAAAAAGCAAGGATGGAATATAAAGTTATCTAAGAAAAGTCCAATCTATTCTAGTCCTTTTCTTGATGTCAGGTAAGGGTGTGTGCTGTTAAGTGATGTTTATAATATTATTATTATTATTATTTAAAAAGCAAATTAGGGTATATATAAACAGGAGAATAGAGAAACTGGTTGCATAGCTATACAATGAAATAATACTATTTAAAATAGGCAATAGAAATGAACAAACTGATTCACACAATACTGATAAATATAAAAAACACTACCCTGTGTCAAAGAGTGTAATGTACATACCATATGACTCCATTTATATGACTTCCAAAACATGCAAAACTAATCTATGATGGGGAAAAAATCAGGGCCATGGCTGCCTAGTAGGGTATGAGAAACTGAGCAGAAGGGACCAGCCTGACTAGGAAGGGACATGAGGAAACTCTGTGGAGCAAGAGCAGCATATATCGTATACATCTTGGTAAAAGTTTGGATTACAGAGTACTATGGTCTGAACGTTGGTGTCCTCCCCAAAATTCATTTGTTGGTATTAGGTTCCAACAAATGAATATAATATAATGTGATAATATAAAGAAGTAGGGCTTCTGCCTTGGTCATTAAGGCATCACCCTCATCAACAGAATTAGTGCCTTTATAAAATAGGATGAAGAGAACACCTTAGTCCCTTCTGCCACATAAGAACACAGCAACAAGGTGCCACCCATAAGGAATGGGCCCTCATCAGACACTGAATCTGCCAGCACCTTGACTTCGCCCTCCAGAACTGTGAGCAATAAATTTCTACTGTTTATAAATTACCCAAGTATTTTGCTGTAACAGCCCACACTAATACATATAGGTTTGTGCACTTGTCAAAACTCACTAAATACTACGCTTAAGAGATGTGTTTTTCACTGTAAATTGTACTTCAAAATTTAAAAACAAATGTTAAATTCTAGTTAATGATACGCATGCTGAAGTACAGAGGAGTAAATGTACTGAGTCTACAATTTACTTGGAAAATAATCAAAAAATAAGATTAATAGATGGATAGAAAGCAATAAAGCAAAATATTACAGAATCTAGGGAGTGGATAAATGGATAATTATTGATTTGTCACGATAAAATGTTATGGGGGAGGAGAAAATTAGATACAAGAGAAATAGTCTCTCTTTCCATTAAGCTATTACTTAAAGAACTGAAGCTCATCCCGAAACCCTTCTTAAAATACCCTCTTTCATTCATTACCCTCTTTCGTAACTAAAGTGAAATATTTACTCAAGATCTCTAAATTTCCTCTGTGCTGATTTTTCTATAACCCAGCAACCCTTTAACTGATTACTGATTCTTTCTCAAGTATCTTGAAGTCACAAAGGGGAACTCCTGGACTAAGATAAATGTATAACAGATTCAAGCATTACGGTCACAAAGCATATTCTAAAAAATTTTAATAAATTGGTTCCTTGCTTTATTATTAAAATAATTAATCTTCCTGTTATCTGTTTTTACTAATCAAATGGTCTCTTTTGTGTTTGGTTAGCAGAAATGTCTCCCTCAAAAGCCTAGGAAACCTTCGTTTAAAAAAAATAGTTTCTGGTTTTGGAAAGCAAAGGACCAGATCACTGCTTTCCAAACAATAAGCAATGTCTCCAAAAAAAAAAAAAAAAAAAAATACCAACCCTGAAAAGCCAGCTGTGCCCAAAGCAGTTAGCTGGTTTTCCTCACCAGTAAACACAGGATACCTGTCCCGCCCACAACAAACTTGGGAGGATCACTGAGATAACATAGATAATGAAAGCACTTTGAAAATGGTAACATTAACACAAATATGTTAGTATGATTCTCAGCCCAAAATCTCCTGAAACTGAAAGCAACTTTAGCAAAGTCTCAGGATACAAAATCAATGTGCAAAAATCACAAGCAGTCCTATATACCAATATCAGACTTCAAGAGAGCCAAATCAAGAACGAACTGCCATTCACAATCACTACAAAGAGAATAAAATACCTAGGAATACAACTAACAAAGAATGTAAAGGACTCTTCAAGGAGAAGTACAAACCACTGCTCAACGAAATAAGAGAGGACACAAACAGATGGAGAAACATTCCATGCTCATGGTTAGGAAGAATCAACATCATGAAAATGGCCATACTGCAAAAAGTAATTTATAGATTCAACGCTATCCCCATCAAGCTACCAATGACCTTCTTCACAGAACTGGAAAAAACCACCTTAAACTTCATATGGAACCAAAAGATAGCCCACATAGCCAAGACAATTCTAAGCAAAAAGAACAAAGCTGGAAGCATCACACTACCTGACTTCAAACTATACTACAAGGCTACAGTAATCAAAACAGCACGGTACTGGTACCAAAACAGAGGTATAGACCGATGGAACAGAACAGAGGCCCCGGAAGCAACACCACACATCTACAACCAACTGATCTTTGACAAATCTGACAAAAACAGGCAATGGGGAAAGGATTCCCTGTTTAATAAATGGTATTGGGAAAACTGGCTAGCCATGTGCACAAAGCAGAAACTGGACACCTTCCTGACACCTTACGCTAAAATTAACTCTAGATGGATTAAAGACTTACACATAAGACCTAACACCATAAAAACCCTAGAAGAAAACCTAGGCAAAACCATCCAGGACATAGGCATAGGCAAGGACTTCATAACTAAAACACCAAAAGCATTGGCAACAAAAGCCAAAATTGACAAATGGCATCTAATCAAACTCCAGAACTTCTGCACAGCAAAAGAAACAATCATTAGAGTGAATCAGCAACCAACAGAATGGGAAAACATTTTTGCAATCTACCCATTAGACAAAGGGCTAATACCCAGAATCTACAAAGAACTAAAACAGATTTACAAGAAAAAAACAAGCCCATTCAAAAGTGGGTGAAGGATATGAACAGACACTTTACAAAAGAAGATATATATGAGGCCAAGAAACATATGAAAAAATGCTCATCATCACTGGTCATTAGAGAAATGCAAATCAAAACTACATTGAGATACCATCTCATGCCAGTTAGAATGGCAATCGTTAAAAAATCTGGAGACAACAGATGCTGGAGAGGATGTGGAGAAGTAGGAACACTTTTACACTGTTGGTGGGAGTGTAAATTAGTTCAACCATTGTGGAAGACAGTGTGGCGATTCCTCAAGGACCTGGAAATAGAAATTCCATTTGACCCAGCAATCCCATTACTGGGTATATATCCAAAGGATTATAAATCATTCTATTATAAGGACACATGCAAACGAATGTTCACTGCAGCACTGTTTACAATAGCAAAGACTTGGAACCAACCCAAATGCCCATCAATAATAGACTGGACAGGGAAAATGTGGCACATATACACCATGGAATACTATGCAGCCATCAAAAACGATGAGTTTTGTCCTTTGTAGGGACATGGATGAATCTGGAAACCACCATTCTCAGCAAACTAACACAAGAACAGAAAATCAAATACCACATGTTCTCACTTATAGCTGGGTGTTGAACAATGAGAACACATGGACACAGGGAGGGGAGCAACACACACTGGGGTCTGTGGGGGGGAACTAGGGGAGGGAAAGCAGGGGGTGGGGAGTTGGGGAGGGATAACATGGGAAGAAATGCCAGATATAGGTGATGGGGAGGCAGGCAGCAAACCACATTGCCATGTATGTACCTACGCAATAATCTTGCATGGTCTTCACATGTACCCCAAAACCTAAAACACAATAAAATATATCTATATAAAAAAATATGACTTACCGAACTATTTAAAAAAAAAAAAAGAAAAACAAATTAGTATGATTCTGTGATGTTACTAACAACCTCTTAAACTACCTATGTTTCTGGACAAATAAGAGAAAAGTTTTCACTACCATTAAGCAATTAAGATCAGCGAGTGGTGGCTCACGCCTGTAATCCAAGCACTTTGGAGGCCAAGGCAGGCGGATCACCTGAGATCAGGAGTTCAAGACTAGCCTGACCAACATGGTGAAGCGCTGTCTTTAAATTTTTATCTTTAAAAAAAAAAAAAAAAAGAAAGAAAGAAAGAAATTAAGATCAATTAAGAGACATTTCCAGTACAAACACTTGGCCCATAGTGATTAGTAGTGACTCATACAGAAATCCATGTGAGTCGAGAACTACAACCCCTAATTTACCCAACAGGTCATTTCATATCACCCGTATTCAAATACACAAAGTAACGGGAGACAGATACTGTTGAGTACAGTGGCTTAGTGACATCCTTGTCGGGTGCTACTAAATATCTCCTGCAAACCCAAGGTTTGTGGCACTACAAAGGCAATTTAAAAGTAGGTATCATGAAGTAAATTATCTTGTCCATTTTAGACAGATCCACAGGAAGATCAGCAGCAGCAGCACCTAAGGAACTCAAGACCTCTGAAAATTTTCTCCCCAATCCCTACAGTTGATTCAGCACAATTTTAAGTTTATTCATTCAAATGAGAAACAGTATATATTTGAAGACAAAGGTCACCTGCAGAATGCTGAGATACACTTAGGAGCACTTTTTAAGGAAGGAGTAAAGGAGAAAGATTTCATTTAAAAGTTTTAGTTTGTATGAAAACAAGTGGATAAAATAAATAAAAGTAAGTTTTAGTTTCATCCTAAATTCTTGGCTTGAAGTTTACAATCACCACACCCTGAAGAGAAAAAACAAAGCAGAGGTGGGGGTTGACAAAAACTTACACCAAGATCTTCATCATTCAGTAAATACATACTGATTAGTTACAAACTGCTGAGTGATCATCACTACAAACTATAAAGGACTGGCCAGGCGCAGTGGCTCACACCTGTAATCCCACCACTTTGGGCGGCCGAGGCAAGATCACCGGAGGTCAGGAGTTCAAGACCAGCCTGCCCAACATGGCAAAAAGGCTGTCTCTACTAAAAATACAAAGAATTAGCTGGGCGTCGTGGCGGGTGCCTATCTCAGCTACTCAGGAGGCTGAGGCAGGAGAAATGCTTGAACCTGAGAGGCAGGGGTTGCAGTAAGCAGAGATCAAGCTCCGTCTGAAAAATATATGAGTAAGTAAACAAATGGTGTGGGGACTAGAAAAATGCAAAAGAATAAAAGTTGAAATCCTATCTCATACCTTCTACAAAAATTAACTAAAAATAGATAACCAACAGGCCAGGTGCAGTGGCTTACGTCTGCAATCCCAGCACTTTGGGAGGCCGAGGCCAGTGGATCATCTGAAGTCAGGAGTTTGAGACCAGCCTGGCTGGTCTCAAACATGGCAAAACACTGTTTCGACTAAAAATACAAAAAATTAGCCGGTGTGGTGGCGGGTGTGGAGATCACTCCATTGCACTCCAGCTTAGGTAACAGGAGCGAAGCTCTGTCTCAAAAAAACAAAAAAAAAAAAGGAACCAACTTAAATGTAAAATAGGAGCTAAAACTATAAGACAATTAGAAAAAAACGTAGTGTAAATCTTTGTGACCTTGAATTGCATAAAGTTTTCTTAGATATGACACCAAAAGCACAAGTAACAACAAAAAGATAAATAATTCATCAAAATTAAAACTTCTGTGCTCTAAAGGATACATCTCAAAAAAATGTGAAACCACCACCTACAAAATGGAAAAAAAAAATTTACAAATCATGTACCTGATAAACAACTAGTATCCAGAATACATATATAAAGAACTTTTACAACTTACAAATATAAAGGCATATAACTCAATTTTAAAATGTGCAAAGTATTTAAATAGACATTTTTCCAAAGAAGATACACAAATGGTCAATGGGCATATTAATAATACTCAATATCATTAGTCATTAAGGAAGTGCAAATCAAACCACAATGAGATGCCACTAGGATAGCTATAATCAAAAACAGCAGCAATGGCAAGTGTTGGCAAAGATGTAAAGAAACTGGAGTCCTCATACGTTGCTGGTGAGAATGTAAAATAATGTAGTTGCTCTGGAAAACAGTGTGGTAGTTCCTCAAAAATTAAACAGAGTTACCACATGATCCAGAAATTCCCCTCCCAAATAAGAGAAGTGAAAAGAGGTGTTCACACAAAAACTTGTAAACAAATGTTCGTAGCACTATTATACATAATAGCCAAAAACCTGAAACAACCCATTATCCATCAGCTAATAAACAGATAAACAAAATGTGGTACATCTAGAAAATGGAGTATTATTCAGCCATAAAAGACATGAAGTACACTACAGCATGGAAGAACCCTGAAAACGTTACGCTAAGTGAAAGAAGCCATACACAAAAGGTCATACGTGCTATGATTCCACTTATTATGTGAAATGTCCAGAACTGGCAAATCCACAGAACCAGAAAGTAGATTCATGGTTGGCAGGAGCTGAGGGGAGAAAGACTAATAGTGACTGCTATTGGGCATGGGATTTCTTTATGAAGTGAGAAAACTCTCTGAAATTAGACAGTAGTGATGGTTGCATAACTTTGTGAAGAGACTAAAAACCACTAGTTATACACACCAAAAGGATGGAATTTATGGTATGTGAATTACATCTCGATATTTTTTAAATTAAGCAAAAAAAAAAATTGCTGAGGAACAAAATGAATTTACCTTCCACCTGCAAAACTGTTATAAACACTTTCAATCCCTTCATAATTAGAAAATGATAATCCAAAAGCTTCAGATAAGCCAAATACCAGCACTCCAAAGATTCATCTAAATCTGAGCCAGAAGTTCAAGAACAAACTTTCTACTCTTTCTGGGTTAAAATACAGCAAGTTGTCCTTGTCTACAAATATAGCACCACCCACATGACAGACTTGGGCCTTCCTGACAGTCTCTATGTTTTAAAACAGAAGGGTGTCAAATCAAAACAGCTTCAACCTCAAAGGTCTCCAGAGATATTCTAAAATAAAGCAAAACCAAGTTGCCATAATATTTATGACACTATTAAAATTGAATCAATACAATTTTAAACAAAGTGTACCTTTGTGTATATTTAACATATTGGTATATACACTGTTCTCTATACAGGCTGTTCTTTAATAAGAGCCTATCTGTATATTAAAAGGACCCACTGTCTTATATAGTTCCAATGCTGAAATGCTTAAAATTCCCTAAACTCACAACAGAGCAGTTACATAGCTAAATAAACTGAAGATTGCTTACAGAAAATAACACACAGCAAAATAAGATTTTTAGAATATTTGAAAAATGCTACTTGACCTTAATTCTCATTCAGTCTCCTCTAATAATTCCAGTATGTCCTTTCTTCTTGTGTTATATTGACACATACGGCAACTGTCATGAATAAAGTAGCACAGACCAGTATCAGCCAAGAAGTCTGTCGTCTCATTTTAGCTCATACTTTACCTAATTTTTCCTAAATATATATACTGAGCTTTTCTTAAGAAATATATTTCATTATCTCCCATATGAACACCTTCTTTCTACACCATCCAACCTACACGGGGGAGGAGGAGAGACAGAGAATATGAGTATCTAATATCTTTTCAGCAACACAGATACACTTCAAAAAGACATAACATACAACTGGAAAGACTTCAGAAAAGACATACGAATATTTATAGGAATCAAAGTCCAGACTAAATAAAAGAGATTTCTTGCTAGAAGAACAAAAACTGAGAGAGAGGGTTAAGTCTATAAAATTAGGTCAAATACCAAGACAAATAAGGCAAATGCCATCTTGTCTGCCAGAACTCAGAAGACTAAGAAGCTGAAGTTCAAGGATTTTTATAAAAACTACCCTAAAAATATATATATTATTGGAAGAGTGTTAATAGAAGTAAAAATATAGATTCAAGAAAAGTTTCTCTCCATTCATGATGGTTAGATTCATGAACCATTAATGAAAGGTGCTCCATTTCTAGTACACATAGAATGTAATTACAGCAATTTTTCACAAAACATACCCTGGTACCATGCTGGGACAGAATACTGCTGAGATGTACAAGCATGACTTTAAAAGCATTACTCAATTTCTTCTAGGACCTTGAAGCAGCAGAGAAGTCCCAATTATCATCTTAACTTAACCATTCTTTACAGGATGACCCTACTGCCATTTCTTCATTGAAATACCACCTCCTTTCAGTAACCTTATACTCACCTGATTTAACTCCTATCAGTGTGTCCAACTCCTTTCCAAACTCCTCTTTTTCTACTTGTGTTCCTCAGGATTCCATCCCCAGTTATCTTCCCACTCTATATCACTGGGTCTCAAAAGGAAAGTGACACTTTTTCAAGGAATGGAAGAAAAACAGTCAAGGATAAACTATCCAGACCTTATCATGGACCCATTAAATTGGAGCTGGGGAAAGCATGAGTAATGTGTTTTTTAGAAGACTCTCCAAGTGATTCTGACAACTCCATTTCTATCCCACAGAGAACCACTGATCTAACAATACTTTTTATGTGACCCTACCTGCTCCCTTGGCTTCAGCTATGACACCTAAATGATAGAGACCTTGTTCATCCTCTCTCCTAAAATTCAGATACTTAAGGCATTTTCACACTTAGATTGTCCATAAGCCCTAAAATTCAACATATTTGATGCCATTTTTGTAGCATAACAATAACACCCATGAAAAAGGAACTAGATAAACTGGTTAAATTAAATCTGGTACATGCACCTACTAGAATATTGTGCTGTCATTTATTATAAAGGATGCTAGAAATGTATATGCTCATTTGGAAAGAATTCCAAGATCTGCTAACTGAAAAAAGCAAGGTGAAGGATAGTGTGTTGTACGCTATTTATGTTAGAAAAAAAAAAGGACAAATGCAGTTCATGAACAGCAAACTTCAAAAAACACACTCAAAAAACGTAACCCTGGCTAAATGGGACTAAGGCTATGGTCTCCCACTAAGAGACATAAACCAGGAGAGAGAGACATCCTTTTCATGATATATCCATTTGTGTGTTTAAATGTTTTACCATACAAATATACTCATTTTCTAATTTTTTTAAAAAAGGATTTCGATAATACAAAACCATGCACTACATGCACATGATATCTAAAAATGGACTCATCCAGAATACATTTAAAAAAAACTCTTACAGGCTGGGCATGGTAGCTCACGCGTATAATCCCAGCACTTTGGGAGGCTGAGGCAGGAGGATCACTTGAGCCCAAGAGTTCAAGATCAGCCTGGGAAACATGGTAAAACCCCATCTCTACAAAAAATTTAAAAGTTAAGCTGAGTGTTGTGGTGCACACCAGGGGTCCCAGCTACATGGGAGGCTGAGGCAGAAAGATCACTTGAGACCACGTGGTCAAGGCTGCAATGAGCCATGACTGTGTTACTGCACCCCACCCTAGGAGACAGAGTGGTAAGACTGTCTCGAACAACAATAACAAAAAAAAAACTCTTACAGCTGGGCGTGGTGGCTCACACCTGTAATCCCAGCACTTTGGGAGGCCTAGACGGCAGATCACAAATTCAGGAGTTTAAGACCAGCTTGGCCAACATAGTGAAATCCCGTCTCCTCTAAAAATATAAAACTAAGCCAGGTGTGGTGACACATGCCTGTAGTCCCAGCTACTTGGGAGGCTGAGGCAGGAGAATCCTGAGAGGCAGAGGTTACAGTGAGCGCCGAGGTCACGCCACTGCACTCCAGCCTGGGTGACACAGTGAGACTCTGTCTCAAAAAAGGGGCGGGGGGAGACCTCTTAAAAATGAATGAGAAAAACGTACATGACACAATAGAAACTTAAGCAAAATGCTTCAACAAGTACTTCACAACAAAGTTTAGCCAAATGGCCAATGACGAAAGGTGCTGCATTTTATTAGTCATCAGAGAAATATAAATTAAAAGCACACTGCAATAACTTTACATA